AGGTAAGTGAAAATATATTCGATCTCTTTTTCAAATACTGTATAGTTGTAAAAAACCAAAAAAAACCGACTAAAGTCTTAACCGAAAAAAACCGACTTTATGTAGTTTGATTTGGTTTTTAGATATAATAAACCGACATAATTGCCTAATTGATTTAGGTTTTTTTTAATGAAAAACCAAACCAAACCGACCTATATACACCCCTATTTATAGCATTTAATTTGAATTAATACTTTGCTATTATATACAATTTTCCCATTTTAAAATGAAACAAAACAAGGCTATTGACTTCGTCCAAAGATGACCTACTAATTGAGTATCTAATTCTGAAAAGGTTAAATAAACGTCAGAGCGACTCAAATGATGATTTAAAGTTAAAAAAAAAAAAATGAATCGAAGGCCTTATAATTTTTGAATAATAGTTACTAATACTTTTTTTTTAATTTAAAGTTAGTTTATTCATCTAATCTTTTTTAAAATGCAAAGTTGATAATATATTTCTTAAAAAAATATTTTAAGATGTAAGTTGATAATATATTTATTTAAAAATTATTTCAAGATGCAAAGTTGATAATATATTTCTTAAAAAAATATGCTAAGATTCAAAGTTGTATCTTTGTTTTTAGATGAAATTTTTTACTTGTTCTATAAATAGTACTTCTTCCGTTTCAATTTGTTTGTCTGATTTTGATTTATCACAAAATTTGAAGTTTAATAAGAAAGTAAAGAAAACTTTTGAATCTTGTGGTCATAAAGTTAGATTGAAACAAACTATTCAATTTTTCAAAATTATTTTTAAGAAAATTTATAATAATCTTATTATTGCTAAAAAAATAAAAATACCATTCAAATTTGAGAACCTAAAACAAGTGCCTTATTTTCAATGCATAGAGCATCTCATGACGTTTGAATGATTTATCAAACATACGTAATTCTTAATAAGGTACTTCAAACAACTTTTTAAATATAAAAAACGCATTTGAAATTTATATCCATTATGCTATAATGGATTTTTTATATATAAAATTTTATTGGATTTTTTAAATTATTATTATTAAATAAAGGAAGGGAGATTACTGGGTGGAAAATCAAACTCACTCAATAAGATGAAAATTAGATAGCCAATCAATTGAGTTAGTACTAAAATTCCCCTATTAGAAATAATTATTATTTTAGCACTTGCTCTTTATTTCTATAGTAGAATGCGAACATAGAGTTTAAATAATAATCATGTTGCTTCTTAAAAGATTTTTTTTTCTTCATGTGAGGGATACGTGCAACGAGTGTACATTTAAAATAATTTAACTAAAACATTTAAAAAATGAAGCAACATGATTATTATTTATTTACGTACTCTCTTCTCAATGACCTTGTAAGAAGTTTTGGATGTCAAAACTTAAGTTATTTTTTTTCCCATTAATGATCAAAGGAGACAGTTCAACTAAAAAAAAAGTAAACAACACTAAATTTAAGTATGGTCCAATTAGAGTACGTGGGCATATTACCAACGGACGTAGTGAAGTGGATGAGGCTATTCCTTTAATTTCTTCATTAGAGGTTTTGATTTCGAATCCTAGCCCAGGTATGACTACTAGAGATTGACTCATTGATTTAGGAGTTTAAAATTTATCTTGATGTTTCATGTTCAAACTCCATACGTCACAATTTTATTTTTTAAGCACCCTTTGTGAAGATTATGAATTCATCATTATCCCTAAACAAGCCTCTATTCGACATGATTATGTATTCGTTGAATTCCAAAACGAATATTAAACACCAGAAAAAAAGTACTTGTGCATTACAAGATGAAAAACTAGCAAGACTAGAGAAAATTTGTGGCTTTAATTGGTTTCATATCTACTTATCCTCACAGGTAGGGGTGCACATAACCGGGTTGGTTCGGGTTTTTCAAATATCAAATCAAATTATTTGTGTAAAAAATTTAAATTTATAAATCAAACCAAACTAATAAAATTCGGATTTTTTCGGGTTTTTCAACCTTGATCGGGTTGGTTTGGATTTTTCAAATACCAAACCAAACCATTGTGTCGAATTTTTAAATTTATAAATCAAACCAAACTAATAAACCTTGGATTTTTTCAGATTTTTGGATTTTTTCGGTAAAGTTTGCATACAAACATATAATTAACTTGTGCTCCAAATATTTCTTTAGTCCAATCAAAATACAATTATCTAAGGTATTTCTTAAGAAAATAACACAAAATATGAGATGAGTACTGATGACACTAAAATATTCAATAAAAAATAATAATGAAATCATCATATAAAATAAATATTGCAAAGTCATAATGAAAATGATCATAATTTAAAAGTACTAAATCATGCTAAAATAAGTTTAATAAGTATTAGTTACATTACTAAATATTTAAGGAAAATTAAAATTAGATTATGTATTTTAATTGTCTAAACCAATGTAAAACTAAAGAACAAATATTCAATATTATTGTCATTCTTAGTGTTGAATTGATTTTCTTTTTGCATTAGTATTAATTTGATTTAAGTTTTATTATAATTATCAACATTTATGAACTATAATCTTTATTGGACCATTCCGAATTCTAAGTTTTAAACTTGAAATAATATATTAAAAGATAAAAACTATGAAACAATATAAGAAATATTTTAAAATTATATCAAAGTAAGTATTTTTATGTATAAAATAAAATTTTAAAATTTCATGTATAATGTCGGGTTCATTTGGTCTCGGGTTGGATTTTTTTGGTTAAAACCAACCCAACCCAAATATAGTCGGGTTTTTTTTTTTGGTTTGACTCGATTTACGATTTGGTTCGGTTTTCGGTTCGATTTTGTACACCCCTACTCACAGGAATAGAGCTATATTAAGGGTCGTCCCAACTTGATCTAATATTTAAGGCATGATTCATTATGAACCGGGTTCTTAGTTAGGCATGATTGATCCCAATTGTCGTTAGCTCTTTGAATTAATTAATATAGTAAGTTTTTGCAAATACGGTCTTTATTTTGAAGTGATTTTTATTTTTTTTCGTTTATTAAAATCAACGATTTTAATTTTTTCTCATGTTTCTCATTTAATAAAAAATTGTAGGTCAAAGTATTTTTAGTTATGAGTTGTGTAGTATCTTATTCGTAAGATATAAGTTGATTAAAATAATAGAACGCAAAAGCTAACAATTATAAATCTTTATCAACAATGAATCGAACAATAAAAAAAAAAAACTAAAAGGACATAAAACTTGATATATCTTGGTCAATTGACCTACTTATAAAAGAAAACATAAAAATTAAAAGCAATCGAGGGAATCATCTCTCCCTAAACCAAAACTCTTCGTGAATGCCTACTATGAGATCTAGATCTTCTATTTATAAAAGTTAGAAACTTTTTTTCAAGAAAATGATAGATATAAAAGAGTTCTTTTTCACGAAGAAAAGTTTTTGTATCAAGGAAATATTTATGAATTAAATTATAATTGTGGTAGAATCGAAATAAGGTAGAAAATTCAATGCAAATTCCAACAAATTTCCCTTTAGCCTGATTTTTCTGATAAAATAATCACGATCTTTGTTTTTCACATAATCTTCATATATCACTATGCTTATCATGATTAAAAGCTGATATGAGTTAAGAATTGGAGCTCTATGCGTTAAATGTAAGCACAAGTTAATAGTATTAGAAAATGAGCGGAGTTGAAAATAGAGTTCATGCGTTAAAATAAGCATGGGTTGAATGTTAGAGCTCAAACGTTAACAATTACTAGGAGTTAAAATTAGTTAGAGTCCATGCACTAGTAAACAAGAGTTGAAAATTGATTTTGTTTTTAAAGATGAAACAATAGAATAATTAGAAAAATAGTTAAAGTTCCATCTCCATGTATAGTATTTCAGACTTATTTGTTTTGATAAAATAAATTCTCTATTATCGTCAAATTAATTGCAACTTCATTTGAACTAGTTTTCAACTTTGCTCGATTGTTGACTCTGATATCACTTGTTGAAATCAAATAATATGGCATCATACGAAATCTAACAATTGCAAACCTTTAACGACAATAAAAGAAAAACACTAAAAACGACATAAAACCTATCATATCTTTGGTCAATTGACCTACACGTGAAAAGCTTTATATTGTTAAAGAAAAGTATGAAACTACCGAGAAAATAATTATCCCCCTCCCTCCTAAAAACACACAACTTTTTAACCTTAAAAAAACTACATCGTGGAAGCATTGTGTTCTTTTATGAGAATAAAAAAAAATTATTTATAAAAGTTCAAGACTTTTCTCTAAATAAAAAAGATAGATATAGGTTGTTTTGTTCCATCGAAAGTTCTTTTTGAATTAAAACACGGTTAATCGGTTATGATAGAATCCAAATAAAGTAGAAAGTTCAAGGAAACCCCTAACATAGAGAACTAAGAGACACAACTTCATGAATTCTGAAACTGACCTTATGTCTTGCAACTTTTTTATTTTATAAGGCATAACTTGTGGCTTTTGAACTTCTTAAGATCATAGGCGAATCCATAAGTTAAAGACAACATGTGCACCCTCAACGACGACTAATGTACATTAGTTAAAGCATGTCACCCAATATCGATTCATGTGATAACTTTGTTAAACATAAATATATAAAACTAATGTACTAACGAATATATATGAATTAAATGACTTCAATAGATAAAGTTTGCTTTGCACGGTGATGATTTTTGAATTTCACTTTGCATCATGAGGTCGCAAGTTCGAAACTAGCCACTACCTTATTATTAAACTTCTCAAATAAAAACGAAAAAAAAAACAAGAAGAAGAAAAACGAGAGGGCATTTAAATCAGTGCGCCGAATCAATTTTAGTATCTTAAGAGTAGCAAATAAAATATATGACGTATTGAAGAATAGGATATTCGTTCGATTGACCCTTATTAATAGATGAAAATTTTGAGTTGTTACTCGCACTACAATTTGTATCATCTTGAAAAATCAAAATGATGCACCACCCAAAACAAATGGTTTTGCTTGCTTGTTTTTATATCTGTGTGGTAACATTGACATTAACCATGGCCCAAACCATCACTAATAAAACTTCCACCATCACTAAAGGTGCCAATGTCACAAAACCAGGATGCCCTAAGCAGTGTGGGAATGTAACGGTTCCTTACCCATTTGGTATTGGCTCAGGTTGTGCTTATAATTCGGAGTTTGAAATCGACTGTGATATTTATATTAATGGTTCTCAGAGAGTCTTCATAAGAAAGCACAATATTGATGTGTACGGCATCTTGGATGCTGAATTGCGCGTCTCCTGTGACTACGGTTGGAGATGTTACAACTCCACCGAACCCAATGAGTCAAAGGTTTCCATCGTATTTTCAGAATCAAGTCCGTATAGTTTCTCTGCGCTGAACAAGTTTACTGTAGTTGGTTGCGATGACTACGGTTCCATCTTGGGGCCTAACAACTTTGAGTATGGCTGCAATGCTAGCTGTACAAGCAAAGAGGATGTGATGAATGGAGGAGAGTGTATGGGAAAAGGCTGCTGCCAGAAACAGATACCCAAGGGCTTGAAATACTATGGCACAACCATGTCTAGCACAAGAAACCATACCGATGTTTTGTCCTTCAATTTATGTGGGTATGCGTTTCTGGGCGAGGCAGATAGCTTCCATTTCCGGGGCTTGCCAGATCTAGGTGATGATTATACTGTTGATATTTTTTATGAGAGGTTAAAAGACACTGTTCCCATTGTGCTGGACTGGGCTATCGGGAATCTTACTTGCGCGCAAGCTCTGAAAAGAGAGGATTATGCTTGCAGTAAAAATAGCGAGTGTGTTGATTCGGATACTGGTCTTGGTGGCTACCGCTGCAGCTGTAATACAGGTTATCATGGCAATCCTTATCTCAATCAAGGCTGCCAAGGTATATATATATATATATATAGGACCATTTCCCAATGAAAGCTATTTTATGCTCCATTTGATCAACTTATCACAAGCTTTGATATAACGGTGTTCTATTTATTTGTTTTTTTTTTCAGATATTGATGAATGTGCTGATCCAAGCACCAATACGTGTGAAAAGATCTGCACAAACACCCCAGGGAGTTTGTATTGTTCTTGCCCTGATGGATATACCGATGATGGCAGCAAGGATGGTCGTAGTTGTATTCCTCCCAATAATCAGTTCCCATGGATCAAGTTGTCTCTAGGTAATATCTTGGAAAACTTTCATAACCACAAATATCCATTTAACGTGATGCTGTTTGATGACCAAAAAAATCGTGGTCCAAAATATTACATTTGTGTAGCTTTAAATAATCTCATTAAGGGTAAAATGATAAATTTAAAGTTAAATTATTTTTGAATATATAATACGTCAGTCTTCATTTAGGATAACTAAAAAAAGTTATCACCGAGAATTATTGTTTTCTGTGCTAGAAATGACTGGAGTGGGGAGCTTGGAGTTATATTTCAAACTATTTTTGCAAACTTATTTCTTTATTGGGAAAATGCATAAGTACCCCCCCAACCTATGCCCGAAATTCCAGAGACACACCTAACCTTTACTAAGGTTCTATTACCCCCGAACTTATTTTATATGTAATATTCTACCCCTTTTTGGCCTACGTGGCACTATCTTGTGGGCCCAGCACATGTTGACAATTTTTTCAAGGATAGTGCCACGTAGGCCGAAAAGGGGTAGAATATTATAGATAAATTAAGTTCAGGGGGGTAATAAGACCTTAGTAAAGGTTAGGTGTGTCTCTGGGATTTCGGGCATAGGTTGGGGGGGTAATTATGCATTTTCCCTTCTTTATTTAACCAAACTTCGTGGGGTAATAGGATCTTAGTATAGTATAAGTGTGTCTCTGAGATTTCAGACATAAGTTGGGGGTAATTATGCATTTTCTCTTAATTAAAAGAACTCCAAATTTTGGTATTTATATGGATGACTATGGTATAAGACCAAGATCAAACTCAATTCCTTTTCTTCTGAAATCCGAACTACGTTTGAATATTACATAATGTGTTTGTGACTATAAAAGTGTTATTCCACTGATAACTGATTATTCAGGTATTGGAATCGGCTTTATCTGCCTAGTGGTTGGGGTAACCTGGCTCTATTTCATCATCAATAAAAGAAAATTGGTTAAAGGCAGAGAGAAGTTCTTCCAACAAAATGGTGGTTTATTATTGAAACACAGAATGTCTTCTAAAGAAAACGGTGTGGAAGAAACAAAAATTTTTACAGCTGAGGAGCTCAAGAAAGCTACAAACAATTATGCCGATGATAGAATTCTTGGTCGTGGCGGCAATGGGATTGTGTATAAAGGTGTGCTAGATGATACTCGCATAGTTGCCATTAAAAAATCTAGAATTGTGGACGAGAGTCAAATAGACCAATTTATCAATGAGGTAGTCATTCTAACTCAAATCAACCATCGAAACGTGGTAAGACTCTTTGGATGTTGTTTGGAAGATGAAGTTCCTTTATTGGTTTATGAGTATGTCTCTGAAGGAAATCTTTTCGAGCACATTCACAACCAACGTGGAGCGGGTTGGTTAACTTGGCAAAACCGTTTGAGAATTGCAGCAGAGATAGCCACTACACTTGCTTATCTTCATTCATTTGCGTCCATGCCTATAATTCATAGGGATGTCAAGTCTGCCAATATATTGATAGATAATGTTTACACAGCTAAAGTGGCAGATTTTGGAGCTTCAAGATTAATTCCTTTGGATCAAACAAGTGTGGCTACTTTGGTTCTAGGGACAACAGGGTACTTGGATCCTGAATATTTTCGCACAAGTCAACTGACTGAGAAAAGTGATGTCTACAGCTTTGGAGTAGTTCTGGCAGAACTTTTGACAGGGTTGAAATCTATATTTAAAGACAGAAACAATGTGCAAAAGAATTTGGCTGATTATTTTGTTTCATCTGTGAATAACAATTGCTTATTTCAAATTCTTGATCGTGTTTTGCAAGAAGAGAATCTCGAGCATCTCCAAAAGATGGCTGAGCTGGTGAAGAACTGTCTTCTGCCGCTTGGAGAAGAAAGGCCTACAATGAAGGAAGTGGCTATTGAACTTGAAGGTTTGAGGAAGTTAACTGGGATCTCTTCGTTTAATCAACATAGGCAGGGAGATAATGATCAGGATGAACCAGTTACTTACACAGTTCCAATAGACTCCATACCCCCAAATTAGACAATTCTCACATAATGCATCCTACATATTTTCCAAGTTGATGTTATGTACACTTCTTTCCTTTTTCCTTTCAAGTTGATGTTATGTTATGTATTTGGATTGTTGGAATTTTAGCAGATATCATATATATGACCTTTTGATGATAAACGTCCATTTTTATTGCCAGTAAACTCGATTAAATTGTCAGGAAAAATATCACCCTCCTAGCAACAAATTTAAGGATTGTCTCACGCCAAGTTTCAAAGTCTTCCTTTTTTTTCCTTAAATATCGTGTTCAACACTTCCACTGCAAAGGGCAAGAAATATTTTAATTTGTTTGGCACATGTACAAATTGTTAGGGTTTTGCCCTGATTTTCTTATCAGAATTTAAGATTTATTTTTTCTTAAAGAAAAGACAAAACATTACCATAAATGTTTTTACTTTTCCTGAAAGGAAAATAAAATATTTTTCTATATTTGGTTTATTTTTTCCTTTTAGGAAAAGGTTTTGGAGTAGCTAGTTATTTTCTAGTAGGAAATGTTTTAGAACTCTATAAATATAGGTTTGTTTCTTCTAACACAATAACAATTGCATCCACAATGTAGTCGTTTAAGAGTCTTGTTTACGAGGAGATTTATTCTCTCTAAAGTTTCAATGTTTTTCTTTATATTAGTTTTGATATAATAATATTTTGATTTTTAGTATAAATTTTTTTGTTAGCTGATTTATCAACTATATGATTTGCAAATTGTAAGCTTCCGCATGACGTCCTAATCACCCTTTCGAACCCAACAAGTGGTATCAGAGCACATGATTCAATGATCCAATGGTTCAACAAGATTGAAGAAAGGTTCAAGTGGTTTCAAATCAATTTGCAACAAATTTGATAATAATGAAGATTTTTTTTTGCTACTACATGTGGAGAAAAAAAAAATTCAAATATATTTCCAACAATATCCTGCTACTTCATCCTTAAAAACAAAATCAATTTTCAACTCATCTTTGCTTTAATACATGGGCTCCAACTTTCAACCCCAACAATTTTTAATGTTGGGGCTCCACTTTTAACTCGTGCATCTCACTTTTAACGCATGAGCTTCACTTTTAACTCATGCATCTTACTTTTAACGCATAAGCTCCACTTTTAACTCATGCATCTTACTTTTAACGCATGAGCTCCACTTTCAACCCTGCTTATAACTTTTAACACAGGGCTCCAATTTTTTAACTCATATCAATTTTTAAATCATGGTAAGCAGCAGTGATATATGAAGATTTTGTGAAGAACAAGATTATCAAGCATATGAAGAAGACAGATCAAGTTTTGTCAAGAAAATTCAGCCAAAAGGAGAGATTTGTTAGGGTTTTGCCCTGATTTTCTTACCAGAATTTAAGATTTATTTTTTCTTAAAGAAAAGACAAAATATTACCATAAATGTTTTTACTTTTCCTGAAAGGAAAATATAATATTTTTTCATATTTGGTTTATTCTTTCCTTTTAGGAAAAGTTTTGGAGTAGCTAGTTCTTTTCTAGTAGGAAAAGTTTTAGGACTCTATAAATATAGGTTTGTTTCTTCTAACACGATAACAATTGCATCCACAATGTTGTCGTTTAAGAGTGTTGTTTATGGGGAGATTTATTCTCTCTAAAGTTTCAATGTTTTTCTTTATATTAGTTTTGATATAATAATATTTTGATTTTTAGTATAAGTTTTTTTGTTAGCTGATTTATCAACTATATGATTTGCAAATTGTAAGCATCCGCATGATGTCCTAATCACCCTTTCGAACCCAACACAAATTGAATAGATTGTTGACCTTGAGATATAGGTTTGTTATCTGGATCTACCAAAAGAATCTAGAGTTCACTGCAGATTCAGAAGTATTGAGCTATTGGAATTTTAATCAAATGAATATGTTACTGCGAAAACACATCATTCACGGCAATCAAAGCTGTAATCGATCAACATTCGAATCTGAATCTTAAAATCTTTCACCATCGTAATTGCAGATTCACTTATTTCACAATGCATTGAGTGAACAGGCAAAAAGTTCAAGTAAACAACTATAGAACATCAACAGACTTCACAGCGCACAATTTTCTCAGTACTGTATTTCTTATCACTTTACGTCACAGAGTAAAGCGTTAGATGACTTTTGGGAATCAGAAACCTAAAATTTCATGTCAGATTCTTCGGAGTTCAGGATTATGTTTAGCATGATGTACACTCTATATTTATATTAGTTGTTTGACATAAATTTTGATTATATCTTGTTTCCTTTATATTCTCTTTATATATTACGTGATAACCAGAAAAAAAATTGTAGATCACTAGAAACAGATAATTGCATATGTTGCAACTGACTGACCGAAACATGAAGAACATGCTTGATCATGGAGGACCTTACAGCCCAAAAATGTTGTACATATATAAGTCTTTACTCCCATCATTGTGTGTTGTGAAATCTGGAAAGCGAGATGTACTATGAGATTTGAGCACAAGCAGGTCAACACAAATATCATTTGCCACCAAATTCTCTTTCAGGTCAAAGAATTGATGCAAAAAATGTTTAGCAGGATGGACCAACATTGGAACTGGAAGCAAGTGTCATATAGCTAAAAATTACTATGGTTTGCTGGCACAAACCTAGTGATGATGCTTGGATATTGAACACTGATGGGAGCTTTATGAAAGACCAAAACAAGGAAGGGGCTGGCAGAATTGTTTAGAAATAGAAATGGGACTAGTCATGGCCTTTGTGTACCCTGCTCACAACTTTAGTGAAGCCTATGCTACCTTAATAGGAATTTCATAGTGTTGTGACGAAAACATCAGGAACATTGGAATGGAATTAGGCTCGATGATCGTTACAACATGATCAGAGGGGTGACTAGACCCTCTTGGAGACTGCAATATATAATCGATGATATTCAACAGAAGAATGTCATGATTAGTCTTTGTTATAAAGAAAGTAATGGAGTTGCAGATGCTCTTACGAAGCATGCCACCACATTCAAGAAGATAAAATCTTCCTTCATAAACAAGACCTTCCTAAGGAGGCTATTAGCCCCCTTAAAATGGATAAGATGCAGTTCCCCTCCTTTTGAAGCGAGCAAAAAACTATTCTTGGTGCTACAAGCCCTCGTGACTCTCCTACTTTTGTAGATACCAGTATGTTTAGGCTAAAGGTTCTGGTTACATCTATGTTTGTCTAGGTTTATAGCACTTTAATATGCCTGAACTTTTAGTCTTAGGACTTAGGAGTATTAACTTCACTGTATGCGCTCTTTTTGTGTTTGGAGGTTAGGTTGCCATGTCCCCTCTGATTCTGTAATTTTTGCTAATCTTATTAACCTGATTAATTAAAAAAAGTGTAGATGTGTAGTATGAAAAGACAAATATTATGGAACAGACAGCTTTAGCCTAATGGACTGAAGTTTGTTCATAACTCTTGGTATAGGTTACATAAATGGTCTTTAGAAAATGCTGCTAAAGCATTCACCGCCCATTGAATTTGATTGTTGTATTGAACTAAACATTTAGGGATGGTTTTAGCTCAAAACTCATCAAAATTCATGATATATATATCAATTAGATATGCAATCAACTTCATGTGTATTATCTACATCAAAATCCTTTGAATACACTGAACATGACCTAAAATAAGTATCTAAAATTTAAATATACGTATACACCTTAAATTAGGATATGACTATTTTTGTCCCATATTTTTCTCCTTATTACAGAGTAGGTCTTTACGTATCTGTATCTTAAATTAGGACCCCCAAAGTTTCAAATATATACAACTAATAAAGTAATTAGTTTACAATAAATATGATCATGTTTTATTTTACATAAAAAATAATAATCCAAAAGTCATGTAAAGTATACCATGACTATACATTATGTTATACTCAAAAAACTAAATATAACTTATTTATTCATGAGTTATACACTCAACATGCATTATGATACACTCAAAAAGTTGAATATAGTTTAAATGTACATGAAGTATACATTAAAGTTGAATATAGTTTAACTAAGTATACATTGATTATGCATGAAATATACACTAACTGTTTAATTCCGCCCATCTCAAAATCTTCTCTAAACAATCCCAATTTTAAATGTGAAATTCTCTCGATGTTTTGAATTTTTTGATATATAATTTGTTCAAAACGATTAGAAAAAGAAGATGAAGAAGAAGAAGGACGAAGCAGCAACGGAAGATGACGAAGAAAGAGGAAGAAGACAACGCAACAGGCCATTTTTTTGGGAAAAAATAGGGTTGAAGGGTCATTTTAGGTAATTCAAATAAATTGAGTTAAGAAGATGGTAAATAATTACAGGTTGATATTAAGCAAATTATAATTTATAAATAAGTATCAGAATCTCGTAAGACAGCATATTAACAAATCTCATATCTTCATAATTTTATCTAAACAAATACTTGTGATTAAATGATATTATAAGCTTCCAAATACACATAATTTTACAAAGATTTAATGATCCAATATAGTATATAACCAACTAATTGCCAATATAACCTTTCAAATGATACGAACAATCCCTCTCTTTTTACAAAACTTAAAATTATGGATCTTCTTTTTTTGTAAAATATAAATTTACCAGCCAAGTTTTAAATTTTGAAAAAAACTAAAATCATATACTTGAAATCAAAATCCTACCTTTTAGTAGGATTTGAAATTTAAAATCAAAATATTAAATTAAAATTGAAAATGTGTTCAAATATCATAAATAAACATTAATTGAAGTTGAAATTTGAGCTCCAAATCAAATAAATTATTTTTAAAGCATATAGTGGTTAACAAAAATCTAATAAACCTTTATCATTATGAAGCGTGCATGGCCCATGTTGAACCAGTCTTATCTCATCACATTTCAAGATCAAATGGGTAGTTTTATTAATATTAAATTATGTATCTCTAGCAAAGAACATCCAATTACAATTTTAAATTTTATTAAGCAGTATAATTGTGTGCACACAAAAATAGAT